CTGTTCTCCAGAATTGTCCCCTGGAGCCCTCCAAGAGGAGGCAGGGCTCTGGACACAAACTGGGCAGGCATGGGGGGGGGGGAAGATGGTCCCAGGCAGGCTGGCTCCTCCACAGGCTTCCAGTGCCTCATCACTGGACAGTAAGTGACCACACAGCTGTCGGTTTCTGCTTAAGGTTTTTCATGGCTTGACTCTTACAGAACAGACCTAACAAGTGAGTTTGGGGCTCAGGTTTTATTTATTTTTCTTTCTTCAATTAAAACCATGTGGGACTCATCTGGAACAAATGATAATTCTCTGTGTCATTTTCTGTAACCATTTATTTGGATGGCTGCTTAGACGTCACTGGCCTTCTGCCTTTGGGATTCCGGTTTGTCCACCCAGCCGGCTTACAGGATGGGTTTCCCTTCCACAGTCAGACGCTGGAGGCTCTGCCCTGACACCCTTTCCTTCCTCCTCCTTCCAAGCCTAGCCTCAAGCAGATGGCCCAGGGAGGAGCAGCAATGTGAGTGACTGGGCTGAGAGGCCTGAGCCAGGGTTGTTATGAAGGTGAGAGTGACCCTAGGGATGAGTGACAGGCCACCCCCAGCCCTGTCTGAAGAGTGAGTCAGGGGTGACGCCAGCTTTCCTGTACCAGGCCTCCCACCCGGATGCTATGCTACAGCCACCCCCACAGGCTCCTGCCAGGCAAAGACCCGAACCCCAGGCCCTGAGCCCAGCTGCCGTCACAGCCTGGCAAGCACTGTGGGGAGGAAGCCAAGGGGGTCCTGCGGCCATCCAGTCTCCTGCTGGGGAAGGTGAAGCAGGAAGCCACAAAGATCCGCTGTCCACAAGTAGACATGTGGTAGGAGAGACTGGCATGTCCCACATGATGGCCAGATGAAGGACATCGGTGGCTCTACCATGGAGGTTCCCCCTGAATCTGCTCTCATGCTGAATGTGGGGAAGAGGGGCTGCCGCCTGAACTTCGAGTTCCTCTTGTGCTCAGGAGGTCCTTAGATGTGCAGAGGCATCCGAAGAGGGCACTGAAGAACCCCGAAGTGCACAGCGAGGAAGTTCTACCCTTTTCAAATCCCCTTCAGTTCCCTGAGTCTGTCCACTTGTGGCTGGCTGGCTTCAGGGCCCCTGTGACCTCCACTCCTGCTCCTCTTCACTGTGGCTCAGGTCCCTCATTCCCTTCTGCATTTACTCACTGACTCAGGAGCGCACTCAGTCCTGGGAACTCATGTGCCAGGTCCTGCTTTGGGGGCTGGGAATCCAGCAGTAAACCCCTAGTGACGCCTTCGAGGAGCTGACTTCGTCATCTCAGTAATACTTACCTTCGTGATCATGTTGTATTTGTGGCCAGGGACACCAGTTATCCACTAGAGTAATGATTATCTTTTCCTTTTAAAATAAATGCTAGGGTTATTAAAAAAAAAAAAATCAAGTCAACTTAGGAAAGCTATTAGGTAAGGCACAGACAGTTCCCAAACACTCCGTAAGCCATGATGCAGGTAGAAGACGCCAGAGTGGGAACACCTTGCCCTAGAGGCACTGTCACAGCCCCTTCCAGCTCTGTGCACTGTGTGGTTCAGGGGAGCTGGATGTCCCCATGGCTATGGTCTCGCATAAAGACAAGCGCATGAGTCATAGGGCAGGGAGGAGCCCCAGTGGACAATGGTAAGTATCCCCATGGTCAGGTTAGAGTCTACACTTTGGTCCACACATGTCCATGCAAGCACTGGGGTTTTGCCTATGCCCCTGCCTGTGTACCTGGTTATGGCTAGAGGAGACTCCCCACTCCTAGGGCACCCTTCCCAGCATACATCAGGCATCCGAGCATCCCAGCAGTGAACCAGCTCCACTCCCAAGCTGGCAGCCAAAGGCATCTGTGACTTAGGCACAGTGGGAGAGGAAACAGTGGACTATGGAGGAAAAGCTTCACAAGAAGTTGTTTCTCAGAAATATGACCACACTGACTTCCAGGGTCATAAGAGGACTCCCGGGTCTCTGCCATGACCAGAGCTAGGTGCACTGTGGCAGGAGACAAAGTGACTTCTAGGCCCTGGGGAGTTAGAGACAAGGGACAGGGCCAGCTCTCCCTCCCAGGCCATGCCAATGCCCTCACTCATTGGCCAGCAAGGGGTGGAGCCAGGTCTCCTGAGCCCACTGACATTAACATGGCTTTAGGCGGCAGCCCAGACCATGGGCATCTGCATGGGCTTCAGAGGTGACAGGATCCACAGACATCAACATGGTCCTTGTCCCTATCAGGACCACTGACCCACTCATGGCCCTTAGAAGCTAAAAGGGCCAGCAGCTTCTACATGACCTCAGGGAGTTAGACATGCCACTCACATCAGCATGGCTCCCCTAGGCAGCAAAGCCCAGAGACATCAGACAGCGGCACAGACTGTGTATGTCCACGTGGATCTCAGGCTTCATCGCAGCCTGGGACGGCAGCATGAACCACCGAAGCCAACATGGCCTCTGGGGGCACCACGGGGCCAGTGGTCATTTGAGAAGGTCCAATCCAGAAATGTAAACTTGTCCTCATTTCTGGCCTCCATCATTGCTCAAGGCCAGAGAACCCTGTGGCTGAGCAGCAGGTTTGGGGGCTGAGTCTACATGAGCTCCAGGCTGTTGCACACCATCTGGCTGAGCCTACTGGGCAACAACAGCATGTAGACCTCAGTCCCATCGCTCACCTGCCACATCTCCAGTTCTACCTCTGTCCATAGTGCACACATCACTCTGTTTTTTTCTATCTTCCCCATCTCTCTATCACATATCCGTTTGTTATAGTGGTACCCGTCCACCCTGGGCCCACAAGGCCCGGGCAGCCTAGGCAAATACTTTAACCTTTCTGGGCTCTCAATAAAGAGAACAATGACTAACCAAATGTTCGGAGCCTTACAGGCGTTACTATGTAAGCTTCATCTGCTTCTCTATTCTCTTGGAGATAGAGAAATTGCAGTGGCTTCAAGGCATCTACACAACTTGGCTACTTTTAATGCTCCGTGCAACAATGTTTAGAACAGTGCTTCTCAACTTGTAGGTCACAACCCCTTTGGGGGTTGAACAACCTTATTACAGGGGTCACCAGAAACCATCAGAAAACATATTTACATTACAATTCACAACAGTAGCAGAATCGCAGTTATGAAGTAGCAACAAATAAAATTTTATGGTTGGTGGTTACTGTAACATGAGGAATTATGCTAGGAAGGCTGAGAAGCACTGGTTTAGAACAAGGGCCTAATGAGAGGTGACTAGGCCAAGAGAATGGAGTGGGTTGGTGCCTGTATGGTAGAAATGAGTTCAGCCTCCACCACAGTAAGATGGCCCTCTACTGATGTCCACCCTTGGAGATTTCGAACTGTCTTCTTTTTCTGTCCCTGTTTTTTTATTTAACTGTGCAGCCTCGGGCATTTGATTACAGCAGCCCAAATGAACTGAGACAGAGACCAAAGTTCAAAGGCATTCCAGTGGATGTACTAAGACCACTGTGTTGGCTAGTTTTATGTAACTTGATATGAGCTAGTCAGTCAGTGGAGAAGAGGGAGCCTCAATTAAGAAAATGCCTCCATAAGATCAGGCTGTTGACAAGCTTATAGGGCACTTTCCTAATTAGTGATTGATGTAGGAGGGTCCAGGCCATTTGGGCAGAGACACCCATGGGCTGGTGGTCCTGAATTCTATAAGAAAGCATATTGAGCAAGCTATGGGGAACAAACCAGTAATCAGCACCCCTCCCTCCATGGCCTCTGCATCAGATCCTGCCTCCAGGTTCCTGCCCTGTTTGAGTTCCTTTCCCGACTTCCTTCACTATGGTACAGGGATGTGGAAACATAAGTAAAATTAGTCCTTTGTCTCCAACTTGCTTTTGGTCATGGTGTTTCATCACGGCAGTAGTAACCCTGACAAAGAGAGCCACTAGCCTATGGCAGTACTGTCTGGAGCCTGGATTTAACCATTGGACTTTCCTGCCTTTAGTGAGAGTCTGCCAGGACCTGCCTTTGCCCTGCATTCATCCCTGCCCCAGAGACATACCACTCACAAGCCTTGGTTCACAATAACAGCTACACTGGGTTTTCCATATGCCCTGCCCTGTCCCATTTCTAAAAACAATCAGATTTAAACCCCAAAGTCATCAAAAGCCGGAGAGTGCTACACCAAACCTGCATGGTGGAACCTGAGGCAGTGAGAATCTAGGTACCTTTCCCAAGCTCTCCAAGTCAGGAGACAGTGGAGCCATACTTGGAACTTAAGTTTTGTGTCCCTCCTACCATGTTCCCAGGATCCAGGCCCTAGATCCAGTGTCCAGGTCCTTCCCATCAGATGCCCTGCTCTGCCCACAGCCTCTTCTCTCCAAGGCCTGACGGCCAAGGCCTCCATCTTGAAAGTGCTGACTGACTCAGTAGCAGAGTGCTGTTTCCAGCCCAGCTGCAAATACCTCAAAGCTGCAGACACACAGGGCTCTTCTCCCCACCGAAAGTCCACTGTACTCCAAAAACAAAACAACAACAACAACAAAAACCCACAGTTGCCCAGGTTTGAGCTGGGGATTGAGGCGTCTCTACTGGCAGCTATGCTTAGACATATAGGACTTGGCCCTTATTCCCACCATGCCCCAGGCTCCAGGAGAGAAGTGTCCTTAGGCCCTCAAAGCAGTGGAAGGTTCCAGAAAGGAAGCCCTCCAGGCATATCAATGAGCGCCCATCATCACTTCTATGAAGAGCAAGGGCCCTGGGTTCATCCACTCCCTGAGTGTCAGGAATTTTTTTCCTAACACGGGCTCTCTGCTGACAAAAAAAATCTCAATCAAGCCAAATCACAGCAAGCCAAATTAAGAAATATCCAGGTTTAATGGGATTCCTGCGCTCTCAGGTGGCCCCGAGGGGGAACCAGGAGGCCACAAATGCGACCACGGGAGGGGGGACCACAAGGGGACCTTCTGGGGAAGCAGTTTAAGTAGACTGGGGAAGTGGTCAAGATTGGCTTGACTGGGACTTTTACCTCGGCAGAGAGCTTGCTTTAGGAAAAATTTCCTAACATCTCGGAGGTTCCACCAGGTAGGGCGGCCTTTCCGTGTGGCCCTAGGCCACGCATCGAAAGCCCCCTAGTCCACAATCTGAGCTCTCCACACCACGCTAAAACCGGCTCCTGGGCTACAGCGGTTGCGTCTTGGTGAGTCCCTTTTTCTTGTCTATGCTATAGGGTTTTGGGGGGACCCATTTGTACTTACTTTTGTCAATTATGGGACTCTTGTTGAAGCCGAAAGCTCGTGCCAAGAGTTTGATCTCAGCAGTTGCTAGACTGGCAAGACCGGGCCTGGCTGAGGTGGGCTTTGTTTGCTCCAGAGATGCATAGCATTCAATTCCAACAACCCTGTTAGGCCTAAAAGCTATTTTAGCAGACATGCTGTAATAGACTTAGGCCACTTGGTTGGGCATAGACTTTAAAATGGGCACTTGCAGTTCAAAGCCAGACCCTCTATTTCCCCTGGGATGCCTCTTACAAAATCGTTATAAATTGGGACTGTCCAATACATATGTCCATGGTTTTGGGGCTCTGTGCTCTCGCCCTTCCCTTAGTAGCCAGTGTCTCGCAGCACCATGCAGCCAGAGGCACTGGCCCCTCCCCCACTCCCTCAAGCCTGCACTACCCAACCCCCTCCTGTGGCACAACATTCTCTACACTCCTCTCCTTCTCTATCTACCCTCTCCTTTCCCAAGCTGGAGGTTCAAGGTCAACGTCCACCTTACTCACCTTCCTCCTCTCCTCCCCCTCCTACCATCTTCCCACCCTTTACCCCCTCTGTGCACTGGAATAGCCCCTCCCAACCCTCCCCAGTCTCCTCCCATACCAGATCCCCCCATAGCTCTGCCCTTCTCTGTCCTCTCCGGGAAGTGGCGGGTGTCAATGGCATTATAAAAGTTCATGTTCCCTTTTCTCTTCCAGATCTCTCTCAGATAGAAAAGCGGTCAGGTTCCTTTTCTACTAACGCTTAAAGTTAAGAAAGGTTGAGGAGGGTCCCCAAACCCCTATATGGGAATTGGTGAAAATGGCCTTTAAAGTTTTTAATGCCCGAGAAGAAACAGCTGAGTCTTCCCGACAGACAAGGCTACAATAATCTACAGGCCAGGCCTTAGCAGCTGCCCTAAGGTCACAGGAAGGGGGACAAGGGAAGCCAACCCAAGGCTCTACCCTGATAGAGCCCAGCCTAAGTCAACCTCACAGGAAAACTGTTTCAAGTGTGGCCTAAATGGTCATGTGGCATGATATTGCACTACGCCTCCTATGAGGTTATGCCCTATCTGCCAGCAACATGGACACCAGACATCACAATCGCCCCTTGCGGACTTGTCCTCTATGCCACGCCACAGAGGTCCAGCCTCACCAACATCAGCAAGTGAAACTGTGCCAGCCTTCAAACTTCTCAGCCTTGCAGAGGATTGACACTGCCCAGACTTGGTATATCCCATAACCCTATCTGAGCCTAGGGTAAAGCTGCAAGTAGCGGGTAATAGGGAGCTACCTATTCTGTTCTGACATCTCACTCGGACCTTACATTCCCCTCACCAATTTCAGTTATGGGGTAGACGGAACCCGTTCCTCCCCACTTAAAACTTTGCCACTGCCCTGCATTTTTTTTTAATATTTTTTTATGGTTTATTTAACTTTATTTTATGTGCATTGGTGTGAAGGTGTCAGATCCCCTGCAACTGGATCTTCAGACAGTTGTGAGCTGCCATGTGGGTGCTGGGAATTGAACCCGGGTCCTCTGGAAGAGCAGTCAGTACTCTTAACCACTGAGCCATCTCTCCAGCCCCATGCCCTGCATTTTTACAGGACAATTTTTCTCTCATTCTTTCTTAGAGATACCTGCTTACTCAGCACCTTTACTGGGTGGAGATATCCTTAGCCAGTTCCCCAAAGCTTTGTTCTGCTTCTTGAAGTTCCTTTTTGACCCCACCCATCTCCAAGATTGTATTTTACAGGTTCGTTCCTCCTGCCAGACGTGTGCCCAGGCCAACCCACAAAGGGCTCTCCATGTCTCTACACCTGTTTTGTGGACATCAACTGAGCGAAGACTGGCAGGTTGATTTCACTCATATGACTATTCATAAAAAACTCTGTTATCTCTTAACACTTGTGGACGCTTTTACAGGATGGAGAGAAGCGTTTTCAGCCTCCAGGGAAATGGCAGATGTGGTGGCTCAGGTACTCCTGGACCACATTATTCCTCGGTTTGGTGTCCCACAAACCATCCAGATGGACAATGGACTCATCAAACAACAACTAACCAAGCTCTTCATTGAACTCAGGTTATCTTGATCCTCCCTTCTCCCCATTGCCTTTACTCGCCTCGGGGCCACCCCACGTTCCCCTATGGGCCTGAGCCCTTTTAAGCTGTTTTATGGCAGGCCCTTTCTCCTTAACCATCACCTCCTAGTCCAAACTCCTCCACTGGTGGGGTGCCTACCCTACCTCTCCCTTTTAAGGTCCCTTCTTTGTTCACATGCTGACAGTTGTCTCCCTGCCCCCACTCTAGTGGACCCTATGCCCCTAAACCTGCCCCGCTCTCCCCAGGGGACAGAGTACTCAAACAGTTAACTCGTAGGTCTCTTGAACCTCGACGGACAGGACCTCACACAGTAATCTTCACCACCCCCTTGGCTGCCAAGCTCCTAGGACACCCATGTTGGTACCATCTTTCCAGGTTCAAGCGGGCATCTACTCAGGACACTTGGTCTGTCCAGCAGATAGGACCTTCCACCCTCCGGTTTTCCAGGATGCCACAATGAAGGGCCTACCTGCTCCTCATCCTGGCACTCATCTTTGGTGATAACAGTATTTTTTGCTAGATACCTGCCTTCTCACCTCCCCCAAGGAACAGATGCCTGACGTCTCCGGGATGACAGTACATGGGGTGCCTTTCCAGTCACACCTCTCGCTGAGCGTGGACCCACCAACACCTAGCTCTCCCCTTGCCCATGTCGCCTTATGCCCACAGGAGGTAGCCAGACTTGAGTCAACGTCCCTTTTTCCTAAGAGAGCCTAGATGTTAGTCAAAATATCACCTCAGCTTCCAGTTACCCCTTATACAAATAGTCTGGAATGTAAGCCCCAAGTCCCAGTCTCTGTCCTCCATCTTTGAAGGCCCTGTTCCTGTGCCCGCCAAGCCTTGGCCCCTCCCCAGAGGAGTGCCAAGACGAGCCCGCCAAAATCTTGACCACTCCCCTAGTCTACTTAAACTGCTTCCCCAGAAGGTCCCCTTGTGGTCTCTTTTCTCTCCCACCAACCCCCGTGGTCACCTTCGTGGCCTCCCGGTTCCCCCTGGGGCCACCCAAGAGCGTAGGAATCCCATTAAACCTGGATATCTCTTAATTTGGCTTGTTGTGATTTGGCTTGACTGGGACTTTTGCGCCGGCAGAGAGCTCGCGTTAGGAAAAATTCCTAGCACTGAGCACACCACTTACCTTAGAGCTCCTCATGTCCCAGGACACATGGCTCACCAGGAATATTTATAGGGTGCCAGGTTCTGTTCTGGGTGCTGGGGATGTGACTATGAATGAGACAGACAAGACTTCGGTCCTCTCTGGGGTGACCGTCCATGGAAACCAGAGACTGCACTGTGAATACATCACTAAGATCGTGTCAGAGTACCCGAGGTGGAGATAAGGACTCAGGGAGCAGAGGGGAAGGCTCCACTGAGAGTGTGTGCTCTTCAGCTGGAACTTGGGGGATGGCGAGGGGCCAGCCAGGGGAGGTAGTCCAGACCAAAGAAAGAGGTAGAGAGTCGAACAGAGGGTCAGTGGAGCAGCTGGTGGGCAGAGCCTTCCTTCCTGTGAAGATCTGATCCTCTTGAAAGGCCGATGGAAACCCTTGAAAGGTTCTGATGGTGCAGAACCATGAGGCTGACCCTCGGCTGTGAGAGGTGAACAGGTAGGGAGTAAAATGACCACACAGTGAGGTAAGATGTTAATGCAGTGGCTTGGGGACAGGGGACAGTGACTTCAGCCAGCAAGAGCGTTGAGGAGACTGGAGGGGGCAGCTGTGAGGGAGAGAGGGCAGAGCTCTTGCCGTGGCTAGATTCCTAGAGGGTGATAAGGTCCAAGCCTCCTGTCCTCACCCTCCTGAGCCTGTGCCCACCCAGGTGCATGGTGTGTGCACCGCAGTGCAGAGAGGTGCTCACTCAAGGCTGAGCAAAGGTTAAGAAAGTAGGGTATCCAAGCCACCGTCCAAGAGAACTGGCAGTGGGGGTGGGGTGGATGCAGCAGGATATGGGGACAGGGTCTGGAGTTAAGAGCAGACAGTGTGGGGGTGGTCACCAGAGGAAGCACCTGCAGGATCAGGCAGGATTAATGCTCTAGTCAGATAAGATGTTTCCTGCAGATGGCAGTTCCTGAAAAAGCCCAACCATTCTCTCCAGACACCGGGGTCACATGTGCCCACACACAGATGTGCACACAGTCAGCTTTGCGGATCACCGTGGAGAGTCCCCAGACACTGGGGCCACATGTGCCCACACACAGATGTGCTCACAGTCTCACACGTGTGCCCTCATGCTTACGCAGCCCTACTGACATGCCTGCCCTCAAACCCACAGTGCTTTACAGTCAAACTGAGACTCCTTGAGCACCCATGGGCTCTTAAACACACCACCACTATGTGGCCTCCCAAGTACCAGCACAGCCCACTGAAACCCTGCATAGGCAATTCCACCCCGGCCCCAGGAGCCAGACTCTAGGTCCACAGGCCGACTCCTCGGACACTCCCACCGGTCCTGCAGCCACATGCCTTCCCCCTTAACCACTGGTTCAGAGACAGTGCGCTCCCTATAAGCGCCTGCCCACTTTCCACTTGGGACTTGTCCCTGCCTAGATGCAAGATTTCTAGTCCATTTCTCTGACAGCTGAAGAGTGACGATTCCCTTCCCTTACTGACCAGTGCCACCTCCTCTGTGCTGCCAAGGAAGGAGCAAGTTCTTAGACTGCTAGGGACCATTTCTGGGGCCTGGGTGCTGCCCTCTCCTCACATAGGTACTGACACCCACGACAGTACTACACGCACCAACACATATATCCCACTCCATCAGACCCACATGTATACCAGCTACACATGCGCACACACATGCACATACACATACACACATACACACACATACACACACACTACACCACATTGGTTAGAACCAAAGAAATACACCCCTAACATACGTCCTTCACACATGCACAGACCTCCATCATCAGTGCTGGTCTCCAGACTGGAGGAAATGGTTCATGACATTAGACCTTGATGTGCAAACTTAGCAGCAGGGCTCCCCAGCCCTGGTGTCTGGCACCATGCTGGGTGCCCCGGGAACATTGTGCTGCCAAATGTGCTGGAGATGAGCTTATCATCACAGCCATGCAACCCTGACACCCTCCACTTTCTGGGGTGAGGTGGTCCAGCCAGTGCTGTGGTGGCACAATGCTATGCCACAGACAGGGCCTTCTGGAGCGCTATGGTGAGACTAACTCACCTTCAGTCCCCTGCTTTCTTTCCTTCTAGGGTATAGCTGCTGGCCAGATGGCAACCCTGCTCCTAGTCTTTCACCCTACAGCAGGGCCTAGCAAGAAGTAACTGCCTCAGCTCCCCAGTACAAAGAGGTAGGGCTCAGGTTTACCCCAAAGAGGGAGAATCTTAGAGATAGGGCTCCCAGTGGCCAGGAAAGGTGGGAGCTGTGATGGCCTACACCTAGCTTCTGGGACAGAACCTACAGGATCCAGGCACACCCCATGTGCCAGCCATCACAAGGTGGCTGGTTGGGACTGAGATCTCCCAGAAATGGCTCAAGACTGGGAGGGGGAGGCCCCAGGCCTCTAGGTCAGAGACCCAGCTAAGGCTCCTCCCTGCGGAGGGAGTGGGGAAACAGGACACACAACAGAAGGGGAAGGTGTGCTGCCTTCACTCCGCCAGGGGCGCCAGGGAAAGCAAAGGGCAGGGCCTCCTCCTTTCTCTCAGTCTACCTTTGCTCTCTCTGTTCTTTGCCAGTCCTGCCCGCCCCCCTCTGTCCCTCCCTCTGGCTCTCTTTAGACTGTCCCACCCTCGGGGAGGAAAGCTGAACCGTTGCTGAGGTAGGGGCTCAGTCCTTGCATGGCTTGACAGTTCCCTCCCTATGTCAGCTTCCTTCTGCAGACATAAATGGTGTGTCCCTCCCTGCCACCCAGCCGCTGGAACACTCTCTCTGCTCAAAGCCTCAGGATGGCACTGACCCGGTTCCCTCCCATAAGCCGGGGTTAAAGAACTCCACACAGAACTTCATCCTCTCTGCATCCCAAATTCTGCACCTCTGCTCTTGGTATCCTTTGAGATGTTAAAAGGGGGCGGGGTGCACCTTGGCTGCGGAAAGGTCCACACACCCTAGCTGGACCCAGCTGAGCTCGCACTGTACCACCTGTTCCCCAGCTCAGTGGCAGCCCCACACTGGAGCATACACTTTGAGAGCAGAACTGGCACTCAGTGCCACCTCCCTGAGCCCTGGATCTAAGGAGGGACATGGATATCCTGGCTTAACCCAGACCAGGCCTACCCTCAGCGCCAAGTATTTGTCCCTGGGGCAAGGTAAGTATTATGAAGACACACACCCAGTCCAGTCGTTTCCCTCTGGGAACTGAGGCCTCCTTGAGGCAGGTGGATGGCCAACATGACCTAAACAGGTCCTTCCAGTCAAGCACAGCGAGAGTTTTGGAGACTTCCTCATGCACCTTTTGTATCCTGCCAGGGCACAATGCTTCAGGCTCTGGTCCTAGCCTGATCAGGCCAACCTGAAGATTCCCCATACAATACATACACCCCCACCACCACCACACTCCCTAGAGCCTGGAACCAGACGACACCTGACAAGAAACCAAACCTGGCTGCAGTGGCCCAAGCTGAGAGGTTCTCGGCTCCACTCCAGCGGCCCCAGTGCCCATGCTGCCTCCTTCAGCTGTAAGTCTGAGCCATTCGGCCACATTTGCACATTCCCAAGTACTTTGAGACGATCCCAAGCCAGTGTTCAGCTTCCCACCCTCTGAGAGACGGTAATCACCAGTTCCATTACAGACCAAGGGATCTACCCAGAGTGTGGACCCCCAGAGGTGAGCAACAGCTCTTTCTTCCCTCTTCTTTACCACCTGTCCAGTAGCTAGCTGTGCCGGGGTGGCACTCCCGCCAAGCCCTCTGGAAAAGGCTCCCAAAGATGGGTGCAGGTTTGCTAGCTCTTCCTTCTGCCTCCAGCAGCTTCTGGGGGTGCAATCAGCCCTGCCAACACCCTGTCTAGTGGGAGCAGAATAGAGATAGAAGTCTATCCAGGACCTGGGGTACATGACTTCACACGTGGCCAGATCCTACCTTCTGGGAGCTGGGACTCTCTCCCCATACACCTGTCTTACTCTTAAAAAAAAAAAAAGTGTGTGTGTGTGTGTGTGTGTGTGTGTGTGTGTGTGTGTGATAGCAGGACATGTCATGCCACAGCATGTGTGTGGAGCTCAGTGTACAACTTTGTGGAACTGTCTCTCCCTGCATCTTCTTGACTTGTGAGGCCAGAGCTTTACCTGCTGAGCCATCTGTCTGGTTCGTCTTGCTGAGTCTTCAGAACTTGTTTGGAATGAGAACATAAAGAGGGAAAGCAAAAAGCAAAGGTGTTTGTTTGTTTGTTTTCGTGGGTTTTTTGTTTGGTTGGTAATCTTTTTTTAATGCAGAATCCAAGGTTTGTCGATACATACATCCCAGGCTGCCTTTTAACGCAGAATCTAAGGATTTTCTATACATACGTCCCAGGCTGCCAGCTGGTCTCTAGCTCCAAGCTCAGATGATCACGTGATCACGGACTTCTGCTCCTCCCGCCTTCACCTCCTCAGAGGTGAACTATGGTGTGCCTGGCTTTACAGTGCTGGGGACTGACCACAGTGCTTTGTGTAAGCTACAGGCAGAGCATTCTACCAACCGAGCTATGGCCCCAGCTACTGTGGAACCTGAAAGTAGCAGAATACTTGACACCATGGTGTGAAACCATCAGAGACTGGCCACCCACACAGGCTGGGTGGGTGCATCAAGTGACAGAACAAAGTGTTCTGAGGTCAGTGTGAGGTTGTGACAGAGAGCTTTTTAAACCAACCAGGCAGTTTCAGGATTAACCAGGCCCTGACTTCTCCTAACCAGATTTGTTTCAACAGCATTTCACAATGTGGCCCAGACTGGCCTCAATATGCCCCATCTTCCTGCCTCAGCCTCCTGGATTCTGGGGATTCGGATAAAAGCCACCACTCTCAGCCCTAGCCAGACTGTGATAATGGCTCCTCACGCCCAGACACTGGACGCCTGGCTCCCATATCACCCAAC